ACTGTGGATCTCCCCCAAGGGAGCCACATTGCAAGAGAAGCTATGGGGGACCGGTGGCGACCTTAAAGGTACAATCCTATTTGTGACCCAGACGAGACTCAATGCTTAGCATGACTGATGTCGAACGCACAAGAAGAAGAAGTGCCGATGGTCTGTAAAATTATGGACGCTCTTCCCATATATCCGATACGCCCAAAAGCCTGAAAAATGATCTGTACTTTTTTATAGATATTTTAAACTAAGTGAGAATAAAGGTTCTTCCTACTTTTCTTACTCCTCCTTCACTTATTCCTCATATTCCTTCTTTTAATTACTTTTTTTTAAATATTTTTCTGCTTCTTCGTCTTCTTGCCTTCCTTTTTTCTTCTTCTTCTTCTTTGTCGTCGTCGTCGTCTTGGAATGTTACTTAAAATCGCAACATGCCAGTGAAAGACACACAATCATTAAAGACTTGGAAAGAAAGTTAAATACAATAGACAACAAAGAAAGTGATGAACATAAAACGGGATGCATACAAAGAGGGCGAAGAAATGGGACAATAATCAACAGTAATAAGACAACGTAGGTGACAAATATTGGGCACTGAAATAGGAAACCATTGAGCAGAACAAATCTCTCTTCTTCTTCTTCTTCTTCTTCTTCTTCTTCTTCTTCTTCTTCTTCTTCTTCTTCTTCTTCTTCTTCTTCTTCTTCTTCTTCTTTTTCTTCTTCTTCTTTTTCCTCTTCTTCTTCTTCTTCTTCTTCTTCTTCTTCTTCTTCTTCTTCTTCTTCTTCTTCTTCTTCTTCTTCTTCTTCTTCTTTTTCCTCTTCTTCTTCTTCTTCTTCTTCTTCTTCTTCTTCTTCTTCCTCTTCTTCTTCTTCTTCTTCTTCTTCTTCTTCTTCTTCTTCTTCTCTTCCTCTTCTTCTTTCTTCTTCTTCTTCTTCTTCTTCTTCTTCTTCTTCTCTTCTTCTTCTTCTTCTTCTTCTTCTTCTTCTTCTTCTTCTTCTTCTTCTTCTTCTTCTTCTTCTTCTTCTTCTTCTTCTTCTTCTTCTTCTTCTTCTTCTTCTTCTTCAGCTTTCCGAGCTCTTGAGGCTCATTGACGCCTTTTTACATTTCTGATTGGCCTTGTGTTTCCAGTTGGTGACACAATGTGTTTACAGTTCTGTCTGGATCCCCTTCGAAGCCCCTTCAGATCTCAAATAGTTCAGGGGAAGAAAAGAGAGAGGGGAGAGGGAGGGAGTAGCAGTCAGGGCGAGGTTCTGCGTTTCATGTGGCCTACTTCACCAGATTTCCGCGCTCCTGTCCCGTCCCCCCCCCCCCCTAATCCTCCCCCTCTTTTTTTCTCTAATTTCCAACGTAACTTCAGATCATACTTACTTAAATGCACGGCCAGTTCTAACGCTTCTTCGAAGGTGACAAGTGACGAAGATAATTTCTTTGATTTCACTGTAGATGAAACAGACAAATCATTGAAAAAAAAATACTGTATGGCTTACAGTGTTGGAGTTGCCAGGGCGCAGTGGCTAGCGCACTCATCTGCCTCTCTGGGGTGTTCTCCTTTGCGAAGAAGTCAAGCTGTGAGATCTGCGCCTTGATATGCGTTGGTTCAGTTTTAGACAGCGTCGTTCGGTTACCGAGTGCGTTTACTAAGAAACTGTAGCTGTTTCTATTTCGTGGGAGAGGTTTGATGTTTTGAACAACGGATCAACATCATGGCACACGGGTAGTAACCCATAAATGCTCCGATCTTCTTCTAACTCAAGTCTGAGTCCGAAGAGCTCAGCACAGTGCACAGACTCTGTAGCACCGGCGAGGATTCTGAAAAACTTAAGGTAGGTTTTTAACTCCAAATTGTGCCTGGCAGTGCCGTTAGGCTACTCTTTTTGATCTCCAACTTTGAAGGGATTTTTATTTCGCACAACCCAGAGACCAGAAGGAATTACTAGATGTCCAAGTCTACGTGAAAAAAATTCCAGCCCTTACCGGGGACTGAACCCAGAACCCCTAGCACTCGAGGCGGACACCATGCCTCGAGACCACGCAGCAGCCCTATTTCGTGGGAGAGGGAAGTTCTACTCGGGGGTGGGGGCGGGTTGGATTAGGGGCTTAGAGAGAGATACCACACCAGACAATATAAAACTCAGTACAATGAAGCTGAAAAAATTATACCTAATGTCACCATGCCGGAGATAAAAACTCCGCACGCACGCACGCACACACACACACACACGCACACGTACACACACGCACACACACACAGACACACACACATATATTTATATACATACATGTAAACAATTTCTGTCCCCTTCCGACCAGTCAACCCATAGCTTTCTGCTATACAACTTATTTAATTACCGCCGCCCATGAACTCTTCGGATCTTCTGCTTCGCCTGTCCTATCTTGCACACGTAAGAGCCTCCTCAGAGGTGACCTCTAACCACCGAAGCCTTCCTCTGACCCCGAGTCATATGACCCAACGCTCGACCGAGCCGCCATGGTATCAAGATAAAACCTTAAACGATGGTTTCCAAATTTACACACCACCGGTTGTAGGTCAACTCCATTGAAAAGTTTGTTGGATTAGTCTACTGTGGTAGAGGTTATGGGTAGCGCAGACTTATGTTGTCTGGTATTTAGGTTTTTATTTCCGAGAAAGAGACGGCCTGTGACATAGGTTTTGTCACTCTCTATGGTAGTTGTGTGTTAGACCCAGTATCTAAATGTTTTAGAAGTGTTAAAAGCTCTGGCATGGTGAAATATACATCACGCGGTACGAGCGCGAGGGCGGAATATCCCCGTGACCTTGTGTGAAAGTCGGATCGTTCGAGGCTGACCTATCAGAGGTGAGGTGGTCGTCAAATCAGAGGCGAGCTATTGTGTAGCGGTGAGTAAATGGGGAGACCAGCGTTAAATTTACCCATTTTTTTTTCTAAATGTCTTTGGAGGCTGGCAAATAGCCAAGGTTATAATGCGGCCACGCCCTAACAGTACACTGGATTAACTCCGTCTTCTCTACTACAGAAATCACTGACAGCACTAGCAGAGACAGTACATTCAATAATATTGTATGGACAAGATACATAAATGTGACTGAGTATAAGTGAAGAAGTCTTTGTCATTCAGGTGGGAATATTAATTAGTTCTTTGAAGTTATTGGATAGGATGATATAGCCTCATGTCTGGTTTGGTTTCTGTGCACCAATGTTAAAATCTCCCACAAGAACGATTTTTTTCCTAAGCCTAAAACTAAAACCAGCATAGAATTGTTAACTGCTCAAGGATTTCGAGTAGGCTTAAAATACACACACAAATTACAGGTAGGAATTGTGTGCTTTATAGTATAGATGTGTTATATGTCGCCCTGTGAAAGAGTGCTTTGAAGTGTAATTGACTGCGTTCAACGTGATCATGTCATAGCCATGTGATAACTACTGGCCAAAGAAAGAAAAATATTAGGTGCTTATCGTTCTTTAAAACAGGTTATGCTTCAGACAGTGGAGAAAATGGCCCGGTGAATTTTAAAAAAAATCCTGCATAAAAGAAGATCAAAGAGCGGTGATTCACTTTCTAACAATTGAAGGATGTTGATCAGTGGACATCTGTCGAAGAATACAGATACAGTATTATTCATTTCGATGATTCATTCATTATGGAAAAGAACTGTTAAGCATCTTCCAACAACTCTGTTAGGACACAAACAATGATATTCCCCGTCATTTATGTGAATTACGCATACACACCCGAACCTACCAATCAAATACCTTTCTTAAATATGAGTGTATTCTAGACAAAGCATTACGGTCTACTGTGTTCGTTAATTGTTGCTGTACTTGTTATTCTACCTATGCTTCGTTAATATACATTTCTGTAACCTATGGTGCCATTTCAATTGGTTTAATTATGTCCGTATTCCAAAGTTTTGGATTTCAAGCTGTACGATAGACATGGGCGATAAGACCTCTTTTTTGGGGGGAGAGGATGGGTGGGGGAGGGGGGGTTTGCCTAGTTGACCATGTTCTTAGTGCAACTTGTTTCCATAGCGAGGCGCACACGCCGTCTGAAGGTGACAGGTTCGATTCCTGGCACGGTAAAAACTTTCGATTTTTATTTTGTCTAGTATGTTCTTCTATCTTTCTACTTCTTTCTATGAGTGCCGATCAATATATTTTCTTGAACTTCATTAATTTATGATATTCCCCGCCTGCTGTCGACTCAAAGGCATATTCAGAATTACACATCAACTGGACGCCGGCTTACCCTCTGCCTGTGAAATTAGGACCAGCGCATGAAGTTGCCACCTGTCATCCCGTGCCTGTCTGGCCGCTTCCAATGACCACTCGCCGTACTCCTTGGCCTTGGCAAAGTTCCCTAGAATCAGGTAGCATCTCCCTAGTTCATGACACAACCAGGTCGTTTCCAACGGCTGTCTGCTCATGGGCAGCTTTCTTTCCCAACTAGGAGTACAGTTGAGAGCCAATGCATTCTCAATGACAGCGGGAGTTGAAAAGCGATGAAAACACAATAACAAAATACCTAAGATATTCAAAACAATGTTTTCCCGTAATGAATTTAAATAATGCGGATACAAACAATACATTGCACAATTTATTGCCAGGCATATTTCGCTGTATCTCATCAGGTGCGTTACTACAGTGTTACATCAAAACATAAAATAAAGAACAAAACTGAATAAATTCAACTGAAATGCGAATAGTTTCTTCCAAAACATTGCGTCTGTTTCATGGCCATCAGAAGCTCACCGTAGTCACGCGCCAACATGCACTCGGCCCAAGTTGTCCAGCGCTCGACGTTCGGCCTCGTCAATGTACCTGCAAATAGTGCGTTGTGTTAATAGTGATCACAAGCTTGCACTGTGCGAACTTAATTAATAATTGTTTTATAGTTAATTTGATTCTGTGGTTGACTGATTGTTTGATTGATTGGTTGGTTGATAGGTGTGTTGTTTTAATTTACTGTTTAGCTAGTTGGCTTACTGGTTGACTGATTTGTTGATTGGTGTTGGATGGTTGTTCGTTGTCTGGTTTATTCGTTGGTTGGTTGGCTGGTTAGCTGGCTGGTTGATTGACTGGCTAGTTGGTTAACTAATTAGTTGGTTGACTGGCTTGTTGGTTAACTGGTTGGTTGATTGACGGTTACGTTAACTGGTTGGTTGATGGCTGTTTGGTTTATTGGCTGTTTGTTTGTTTGGTTTATTGACTGTTTAACTGACTGGCTGCATTGTTAATTGACTGTGTGGTTGATTGGCTGTTTGTTTGGTTGGCTGATTGGCTGTTAAGTTGATGAGCTGTTTGTTTGGTTGGGTGGGTGGGTAGGTGGTTTGTTTGTTGACTTGTTGGTTGACTGGTTGATTGGTTCGTTTGTTAGTTCTTTGTTTGTTGGCTGGTTGATGATCGCTCATCGGTTCGTTGGCTGATTGCTTGGTTGGTTGGTTCGTTCGTTCTCGGTTTCTCTGGAACTCTGCTATTAGCGCTAAAATCAGATGCATTGACAGTCAGGTTATCGGGCCTACCAACTACAGCTTGCATGTATCTGATTACAGATAACGCAGAGTTTTTTGTCACGACCCCTTGCCAAAGAAAGAGGGAAATAAAAGAAGGAGTAGGTAGAGAAGGAATACTTAAAAAATGAATATTGTCAACCAATTGTTGCTAACCTATGGCACGGTTGCCAAACATCGCACATGAAAGGACTGACAAGCTGCGCTAAGCAAACAAAAGAACTGCTTATGATTGAAAACACGTTAAACAGATTTATATAATTGTTTCAAAGATCACTTTTTTCGAGCAGTTGTTAATATGTGTATGTCAATGTGTATGTATAAATGTATGAATGATGGATAGATGAAATGTATGGATGAATAAATGGATGGATGGATAGATGGATGGATGGATAGAGGGATATATGTGCTTGTGGGTATGGAGATAAAGAGAGACATAGAAAGATAGAGAGACAGAGAGAGGTATAGCGTATAGAGTGACTTTGCAACATGACTTCTCAGCAATAGTACTAAAGATTTGTCAGTGGCCATTCCTAACTGCCACATTTTTCAAAAGCCCTAACAAATTTACACATTTTGAGAAATTAAAAAAAAAAAACCCCATCTATTTTCGATACATCTTTACGATGAATGTCCTACCACTGCAGCGAGACATCTTTACGATGAATGTCCTACCACTGCAACGAGACATCTTTACGCCGACTGTCCTACCACTGCAACGAGACATCTTTATGACGAATGTCCTACCACTGCAGCGGGACATCTTTACGATCACTGTCCTACCACTGCAACGAGACATCTTTACGACGACTAACCTACCACTACAACGAGACTACTTTACGACGACTGTCCTACCACTGCAACGAGACATCCTTAAGACGACTCTTCTACCACTGCTAAGAGACATCTTTACGACGACTGTGCTACCACTGCAACGAGTCATCTTTACGACGACTTTCCAACAACTGCAACGAGACATCTTTATGGCGACTGTCCTACCACTGCAACAAGACATCTTTACGACGACTGTCCTACAACCGCAACGAGACATCTTTACGACGACTAACCTACCACCGCAAAGAGACATCTTCACGACGAATGTCCTACCACTGCAACGAGACACCTTTACGACGACTGTCCTACAACTGCAACGAGACATCTTTACGACGACTGTCCTACCACTGCAACGAGACATCTTTACGACGACTGTGCTACCACTACAACGAGACATCTTTACGACGACTGTCCTACCACTGCAACGAGACATCTTTACGATGAATATCCTACCACTGCAACGAGACATCTTTACGACGACTGTCCTACCACTGCAACAAGACATCTTTACGACGACTGTCCTACCACTGCAACAAGACATCTTTACGACGACTGTCCTACCACTGCAACGAGACATCTTTACGACGACTGTCCTACCACTGCAACGAGACATCTTTACGACGACTGTCCTACCACTGCAATGAGACATCTATACGACGACTGTCCTACCACTGCAACAAGACATCTTTACGACGAATGTCCTACCACTGCAACGAGACATCTATACGACGACTGTCCTACCACTGCAACGAGACATCTATACAACGACTGTCCTACCACTGCAACAAGACATCTTTACGACGACTGTCCTACCACTGCAACGAGACATCTTTACGATGACTGTGCTACCACTACAACGAGACATATTTACGACGACTGTCCTACCACTACAACGAGACATCTTTACGACGACTGTGCTACCACTGCAACGAGACATCTTTACGACAAATGTCCTACCACTGCTCTCCAATGGCCAAATCTATCAGGTGATGCTCCTCCGCTTTCGGGTAGTTTTTAAGCTCAAAGTAAGCACTGCCGATGGCGCTGTGCGTGGCCGCTGTGAAGATCATCTTGCTGGGCAGCTGATTCTCCGTGTACCCCTCCAGCAGAGACAGGAGCTTCAGGGACTTGGCTAGAGCAACCTGGTAGTTCCCTTCGGTCATCACTGCAACAAAGACGGGCAGACGGCTGGTAGAATTGATCAATAAGTCGCTTCCCCTAAAGGTTAACCATACTAGCATGGGATTCAAACATCTCAGTCTGGATGGTAGACCAACAAGGCAGATCCTAGATACTCGCCAGATATAACTTACAGTTCTATCTACTTTCTACTTCTTTCTATAAGTGCCGATCGAGACATTGTCTCTTTGTTAATTTCATACATATGCACCCTGTGTTGGTTTCGGCAGTGGTATCAAGACCGTCAGGAAAGCAATGGCAAACTACTGGACGTAAATTTGCCTGAAAAACCACACAACAGCCAGGGGCTGTTGGAGTTGGTTCTGCAACGTCCTGTAAATGATACGCAACCAACTAATATATATATATATATATATATATATATATATATATATATATATATATATATATATATATATATATATGGGTAAGGATGCTGAACGTTTATTTTAAAAAAAACTGTTTCATCAGATTACAGTAAAACTTTGATCGTCACTCGTTTAATCGTCAGTTTATGTTATTCATCCTCGTCTAAAAGGGAGATGCCGTGGTCTAGTGGCTAGACGCTCGACTGCGGATTGGAAGGTCGTGGGTTCGGTTCCTGACGAAAGCCCAAAAAACTTTTCCACTGACCTGGGCACCCCGGTCGACCCAGCCTTGAGTGGGTACCAGGTACAGTCCTGAGAAGTAAAGGCGGCCGGCGTGATGTTGACCACATCACCCACCAAATGCAGTTTGGTCTATAAAGTATAGGTCTAGCCCTATATGCCTAATACGCTTGAAATGCGCGGGAAAAAGTGCTTTACTTCACTATCATCGTCTGAAAGAAAAAGAAAAAAATTAATAACATGGTTAGTATCAACAAACAGACATCTTTAAAAATGTCCACGGATTATTTTTTAAACCCCACTGTGTAAAGCTGAAAGTGACTTCTGTATGGAAAACAATTTTATCAAAGTGCATCGACTGGTTTGAAATGCAAGAGACAAATGCAGCACATATCCTACTTCTGCGTAGAATACGAAACATCGCCGGGCAGAAAGCCCGAACCTCAAAGACACAGAAAGAGTTAACAGGTTATTTTAGTTACCTAAGTTTGTAGTTACTGAAGAAGGTTGGCTATTAAAGACAACAAAACACAGACAAATGAAATATCTTGGTCACTTGAAACGTCACGAGAGTTTTTAGAGAATAATAATGGAGGAGTATACGCCTGGGAAGAGAAGAAGAGGAAGACCAAAGATAATGTGGGTGCAGGATGTAGCGAATGATCTCCAGATGGGTGTATCGGACGCGGGACATCTTGCTTGTGATCGAGTTTTCCGGAGGGTTGTTATGGGAGCAAGCTTCTGCAAAGGACATGCTACCGACTGACTAAGGTTTACAGTATTACAATACTGTTATGTAATTACTAATCTCATACTAAAGTTTACATCGATCGCTTTTAAAACTAAATATAATTTGTATGTATTATTCCCTTTTAAACGATTGCATTTTCATTTTCGGCCCGACTCCGCTGTAAAATGATATTACTGTACATAAGTATTAACAGATTTGAGTTATCCGATCCATTCGGTTTTCCGTCACAGCCCTGGTCCAGACGGTGACTGGTAAAGGAAGTTTTATTTGTTGATTTGGACCGGATAAATGCAAGTCACTACTTTGACATAGGGATAGTACAGTGCAAATAAAAGGGCCCTTTTCCGTGACATCAGGCATATTAGGCACATATTGCTAGACTTATATTTGATAGACCAATCAGCACTGGGTTGGTGATGTGATCAAAATCACGTTCTAAAAGATAGTTAGCGCGAATTGTCAGGGAACTGTCTCATGTACAAAAAGGTATCTGAGTAGGTATCCATTCATTATCCATTCATTATTGTGCAATTTGATGTCATTTAAAGTTGGCAGTCTATTCCCTCATTTCGAGCTATCCTGTGCAATCAGTTCAATATCATGAATGGATTCCAATCCAACAGCTTTGGTCTCTCTCGTCGACGTTCGTTTTAGGGTTTCTGTTCGCTGTCCTCGCCCTCTTGATCCCTGTATTTCCCACTTTAATGACTGCTTAGTGATTCTCTGTCTTATATCTGCTGATACTAGTGATTGCCAGGACAATCCTTTCATCTCTTCCCTCCTTTTGAATTCATTCTATTTTATTTTCATTTTTACAATACTAGAAGCTGAGTGGTCTCGAGGTATGGTATCCGCCTTGAGTGCTGGATGTATCAGGTTTAAGCCCCGGTGAAGGCTGGGATTTTTTCACGTGCACTTCTAGTAATTTCCCCTGGTCTCTGTGTTGTAGCATCGGGAACCTGTGTGTATTGTTGCACACGTAATAAATACAGTAGAACCTCGCTTAACGAGCACCTCTCATAACGGGTAATTCGCTTAACGAGCAAAACAAATTGTAAAAGAATGACTCGCTCAACAAGCGACGTTTCGCATTACGAGTGGATAGGAGAGGGGAAGTACCGGATTTTGCGTATGTTACATCAGTGTTTAGCACACGTTCCAGTACTATTGTCACTTGTGATCACACATTTTCTCAAACTTGTGTTATATTGTGATATATGTACATGAATCCTCCAGGCGTACAGGATGACCTCCCTGATGAATGGAAGTTAATCGAGATCCAGTAGCTGCCTCCCAACACCACTCCCCTACTCCAGCTAATGGACCAACAAGTTATTTCTAACTTTAAGAAGCTCTACATTCAAGCACTCTTCGAGCATTGTTTACAGGTGACTGAAGGGACCAACCTCACTCTCAAAGAGGTTTGGATAAAATCACTTCCACATCGTTGCCTGCCTCAAGATGATCGACAAGGCGGTGGAAGGGGTTACCTAGAGAACCCTAACTTCTTCTTGGAGGAAGCTTTCCCCGGAGAGTGTTGTCGATTTGTGACTTTGAGGGGTTCGAGACAGTACCTAAGAAACTTGTAGTCAACGAGATTGTGTCTTTGGCCACTATCATGGGATTGTAGGTGGATAACAGTGATATTGAAAAGCTTGTAGAAGAGCACAGCCAAAAAGCTGACCAACGAAGAGCTTATGGAGTTGCATTGTGTTTCACAGCGAGACGTTTTAGAGGAAAGTTTGTCAGAGGAGGAGGAGGAGAAGGTAACAGAAAAGCAACAATCTTCTAGCAAAATAAGGAAAATGCTTCTCACATTGGGAAGCATCACCCTAATAAGGAAGTGGCTATGCGCGCTGCAAATTTAATGATAATGCTGTGTCGCATTTTCGTCAAAAAAGTCGACAAAAACAAATGTCTCTGAACATTTTTCTAGTAAAAAAAAATAATTAGCTATGTATCATAATTATTTCGCCTTTTTTTTTTTTTTTTTTTATGCAAATCGAATTCGCATTCCATGTGGGTTCGTTCCGCGTTTGAAGAGAAGATGAAAATGATTCACTCTCCTTAAATATGTATATAATTTTCTTCGAATAAATGTTATAGTATAACTTACACATAACATTTTGTGAGTAGTTTTTTCGACCTGGAACGCATTATCGCATTTTATATTAATTTATATGAGAAAAATTGCTTCGCATAACGAGTGTTTCGCTTAACGAGTATGATTCTGGAACGAATTAAGCTCGTTAAGCGAGGTTCCACTGTACCTTGGTGGTTGAAAATCGAAAAAGAGAAGCCTAACAGAAATGCCCAGGCAAAATTTAAAGTTAAAAATCCACCCAAGTATTTCAGGATCCTCGCTGGTAAAACGGAGTTAGTGCACTGCGCTGAGATTCCTCAGACTAAGGCTTGAGTTAGAAGTAGATCGGAGCACTTATGGGTTACTCAGTTATAATTTGTAGCATCGTTTACTTAAAGTATTCATGTCAATACTATAATTTTGTTTTATTTGTATTTATTTACATTCATTACTTTTTTTAAAAAAACTACTTCCCTCGAATGTTTTAGCGGACGAACGACATAGGTCGTTTTGACTGATGACTATCTTAACTACAGATAAAATATTAGGCAATGCTTATATATATATCTCTCTTGGACAGTGACACACGACAAAAATTAATGTGGAAGCTAGGTAGGCAGGCCGGTAGGTAGGTACGTAGGTAAGTATATATATATAGAAATCAATGTTTGTGTGTTTGTTTCACCCCTATAGACTCGGAAACTACTGAACCGATTTAGCTGAAATTTTCAGGATATGTTTGTTGTGATAACGGATTTTGAACCGTCGTGGTTTGAAATTCAACCTGTCACTGTTAGAGATAGGTGACCACAATTTATGCCAAAATATACGCAACTAATATTTATAACTTTAGTGATTTCTAATTATAGCCACGTTAGTAATTGCGCATGCGCCGTATTTACCATTCGCCGGCGAGTTACGTGCAGCCAACGCCTTCTCTAATACTAATACATAGAGTAGGTCGTGGTACAGCAAACAAGACTATCTCTATATTTGCCACAATAACCATATTAAACAAGATATTTTCTGGTTTTTTTTTTTTTTTTTTTTTTTTTTTGCAAACAACCTTCGATGGGGGGGGGGGGGGCATCAAGGACTATCTCGACGTCAGCGCAGACAGTGACTGCGACATTAACTTTATTAACCGTGTTAGACACATGCGATTTCTATTTCATTAATATATCTGGAATATCTGTCTACGAGAAAACAATTGCCTGCGGTTTTGAATTGTGTTTTAATCGCGACACAGTAGTAGGGACTCACATGTCTAATAGTTGAGTTCTCTTTTCGTTGTTCCCATTAAGTGGCTGCTTGGTCGAATGGTTAGAACACTGGGTTCATGTGCGGTAGACCTGGGTTCGAATCCGCAGTCGTTAAATTTTTTTTTACCCCGGACTAAAATAATATCCTCATCTGCTCTGTCGTGGTGACAGCACTAGACATGTTGCCTTAATATTTAAAAAAAACAAAAAAAAAAAAAAAAAAAAAAAAAAAAAAAAAAACAAGTAAATGGGTAAACCATTTCGCATACTTATGATTGCATT